ATCCCCACCTATGTACAAAGGGAGAAAAAAAAAAAAAAAAAAAAATCAATTACAGCATCTCGACGAAAACCGTTTGCCGTTGCTAAAAAACACAACTAATCCTCTGTATCTTCTGCCTCTCCCTACATGTGTGATCAGGAACACAAAGTTGCGACGCCGCAAAGCGGAGAGGGGCGAAGGGGGAGAAGCGATACGGAACACAGAGTAACAGGGCGCAGGTAAGACAAGGGGATCAAGGATGGCAGAGTCGCACAGTAATAATTGTTCCGTTGCTGCGAAGGGGCCATACCAGCGCACCGAAACGGGTAATGATGACAGGGACAGAAAACCGCTGTTGCCAACGAGCAGTCGGAGGTCATCACAGAGCTGGCAGGACATGTTATCAGACCCTTGGTGCACGAAAATGTACGATTTACTGACTGAGGGTGCAGCGGAGTGGCCCCAGTCCAGCGGGGAACAGTCTTCCTGTTGTGTGGGAAAACGGAAAGCAGGGGACATGACTACTGCGAGGGATGAGCAGACGGACATCACTGACGTGAACGAATTATTCCCTTTTACATGGAAATCTGCGCAACACGCCATACCCGCATCAAAATCCGACATTGAACGGTTGTCGGACGACGGATGGCTGAACGACAATATTATTGACATTTATTTGCAGTCTGTGTATGAAGAGGTTGGGCGGGGCCAGGACAGGTCTTCTGTTCACGTCTGCACAACTTTGTGGCATCCCGAGGTCATCGCCAATAAAAGTTTTGGGCAGTTGAGGAAAAAAGGATGGGAGGACGCAATTAAGATCAGACCACAGAAGTTGCATCGACTGTGCAACGAACTGCGACGCGCGTCGGTCACTGTGATACCAGTGAACCGTAACAAACACTGGACTCTTCTTCTGTTGCTGAATGTGAGGTTTTTCTTGGAGGTCACTGCGGACAACCGCATATCCGACCCTCCCATTGCTATCGTCGTTGACTCAATGAGAGGAAAAAAGCGAGAAGAATGGACGGCGTTGCGAAAACTTTTGTGGCACGAGTACCTTCACGAGGCTTCTAATTTGCAGTGTCTCACCCCCGAAAAGGTTCATTTTTCGTGGGTGACATGCAGGGATCTGGCAGGAAGTAAACTTGTGCATGCAGAATGCCCGCAACAGAACAATCAGACGGACTGTGGTGTTTATGTGTGTTCCATCGCCACCACCCTAATACAATTTCTCGGAAGAACCGCGGCAAAGGATGTGAGGGCGAAGGACGTACTGGAAGTTATCAAAACTACAACGGTGAACGAAAGAACTGTTCGACAATTTCGCGAGTCGATGGTGGACCGTCTTGCTGCATGTGCTGCAGTCACAAAAGGCAACTGCACTTTAGCGGCTTCACAAGTAGCCAAAGCGTTGCGAAGCATAATAAACAGAAGATAGAGCAATACTTATAGGAATGAGATGTTCTCCAGGTCACCGAATGCGATGCGAGGAAAGTTGACTACTGCGGGCCAAAATGACATGAAATGTGGGATGTGTCGACATGTTTGGCCCGCAGTAGCCAACCTTATCGCTCTGATGGACGAGGCAACTATTCGGGGACGTGACTGTTGAGAATTTTTTTTTGTTCCCAGATTATGCGATCTCCTGCCACCTGACAATACAAATGCAGTCACTCTGACGCACAAAGAGGTTGCTCCCTTGCATGACTTCGCAATTTCAAATCTCTCTCTCTCTCTCTCTCTCTCTCTCTCTCTCTCTCTCTCTCTCTCTCTCTCTCTCTCTCTCTCTCTCTGCGTGACAAACAACATTTCTGACGCACGTGTGGTTCTTATTCCACTTTGATGCATGTGGGAAAAAAGGGTGATGGCTCCAAGGCGAAAATATGAGGATCTGTGCAGGTCTTTGAAACCCGCAGGAAAGAAGGACAAGTGCCGGAAGAAATCGGGGGTTGAGAAGAGGGAGTCGAAAGAGCATCGCAGAAGCGGTGCCGGCCTCTCCGCGAAAATGGTGCACAGGCGCAGGCGTAAATCCGGGTCAAAAGTTACAGTCCTTTCAGCGGGACATTTCAACGCTGAAAGAACGTAACGAGTCGCCCCCCTCGACCCCTGTCGGGGGAAAGCGCGGAAGAGGCGCCAAGAACCGTCCGCCGAGGGCCCCAGAAAAAAAATCGTGGGATGATAGAAGCGCGACTACTCACCGGAGTTCAAAGAAGAGAAAATCCTACAAAGACGAGAGACCAGTGGAGACAATCGATCTTGGAGGGTCTGACGACAGGAACAGCACACCCCAAGCGGAAGAAGAGGAGGAACACGACCGTTCCACGCCAGAGAAGTCAGACGGTGCAGAGGATGAGGAGGGGGGAAACGAGGGAGACGACAGCGGTCCTTCCCGCGGGCAGTCGCAAGACACCGACGAGGACGACAACAGCGACGGCAAATCGGCCAGCCAGAGTACCGGCGAAGACCGAAGCACCGCTTCGGAAGGAGATGATTCGCCATCTCCTTCGAGGACGCTACGCAGCGAAGGAGAACGGCAGGCACGCAATGGCAGCGACACCGAGGAGCCTGTCGGTGACAGACAAATCGTGCAGCACGTGAGCGCCACTGGAAAAGGTAAAAAAACCGCGTCGCACTCGCTCCCCTCCCACTCACGAGCAGCTAATCCCGTGCCCCCAGAGTACCGGCGAAGATCGAAGCACCGCTTCGGAAGGAGATGATTCGCCATCTTCTTCGAGGACGCTGCGCAGCGAAGGAGAACGGCAGGCACGCAATGACAGCGACACCGAGGAGCCTGTCGGTGACAGACAAATCTTGCAGCACGTGAGCGCCACTGGAAAAGGTAAAAAACCCGCGTCGTGCTCGCTCCCCTCCCACTCACGAGCAGCTAATCCCGTGCCCTCACGGGGCTCAAGCCTTCACGCACGGAAAAAGGGTTTTAGAAAACGCACTGTTGATAGCCGAATCTTCCTATTACCAAGTGCTGTATTCAAAACAAGGCGCCAAGTTGCTAACACTATCCTGTGCGTTGTGTCTTGTGTTTCCCTGCCCATCGCAACGTCAGGAACGAAAGCGCACGCAAGGGGCATAGCCGCGCAAGGACTCAACGAGGAGGGCGCTTTATTAGCCAAGAAAATGAAGGGCAAGCTGTTGCGTTCTGTCGCCAAAGCCTTTGCGTTCTCTTCGGCGAACGACGCAACTCTGTACCCTACAGAGGACACGTTTTTCGCGGCGGTGCAAGCAATGGCCAAACTGGCAGGGGGGACAGCAGAGGAAGGGTTGCGGTCTCACAATGCAGAGCGCGGGATTCGAGCTGTGATAGGGGAATGCAACAGAATTATGACGACGATCCGCGGAGAGATTACCTGGCAGCTGAAGCATTGGTTCTGGGCAGAAAAAGGGATTCCGCTGGTCGGATCGCAGCAATCGGACCACCACCTCCCCGCTCGCAACAAGATGCGCGCCGAGATGAAAGAGAACAAGACATGGAGACAGAGCGGCGACGATCCGTGGGGCGCCCCCGCCTTCAAGACGACACTCTTAAAAGTTTTCCAGATGAGGAAGGAAGGACGAAACCTCGGCGTCACCCTGCAGCAACTCGCTTTCGCGAAGATGGTCATTCAATGTGAGATAGAACAGACAACGAAGACGATACGAGCTGCGGAGCAGATAGAAAAATTGGTATCTATAAAGCAGGCAATCGTCTCATCTCTACGAGCGCGCGACACGGTAATGAGTTTTTCCGTCTTCAAGCTGGACAAATCCGTATCCGTGGCTGAGAAGGCAGCAGCCCTCTTTCGCTGTGGCACGCCGTCTGTCGACAGGCCTGGCCTCCCAAGCACCACAATAACGGATGACGATTACGACGTCGAATACATTCTCCCTCAGAGTACACCAGCCGGCGGCGGGGGGGCGCGCACCGACAGTCTGTGCGCCGCACCCTGAAAATTTAGGGACAGTTTGACTACATTTCGACATGGAAGGGAGGATGCTGGACAATGACCAAACGGTGGAACGGAAGGTTCTTTTTGTAGAAGTTTCGAATCAGGAGATGCAAAATGGAAGGGGA